CCCAACTCGAACTCCTTAACAATCCTAAATTCTTATGCTGCAAGATGAGTGCCCAATGTATCGAAATACGGTATTGCCTAAACGACTGGCCTATATAATAATGAATATATTTATTTGTGCCATTAATATATGTTGGGTTGCAGTGTCCTAAACCTTGAAAATGCGTGTTGGCCCAGCCAGACAGGCATCCTCTTTGAGGAAAAATGGAAGCATTTAAGTCAAAAGAACAGATGGGAACTTCTAGGAATAATCAACCAGAGAGAGAGAGACAGAGAGAGACCACTACCCAACCAAGTCACAACCCTCTCAGGCTGAGCTATTACACCACCTGCCTGTTTTACCTCCTGGGTATAACACTGCGGTGGTGGCAATTGTTTTGTGTTGGTANTGCAAATGAAAACACCAATTAAAGGATGGTCCTTGAAATTCAATCATTATAAAAACCAACTACCATGAGATAGCATGTCATCAAGCAGGATGAAGATGACCTGCATTGATTAACATTAATAGGACCGTGTTTGAGTGGTTGATATTGTGATAAATTTAGCCTTACAAAACCAGCCTGTGAACCAGCATGGGGCCTTTTGTTGATTGATCATAGCTTCCCAACTTGTGATTGAAATGTCTATCATAATGCCTTGAAGATATTGAAGATGCCCAGAAAAAGCATATATAGAAGCAAGCTAGCCAGCAAAGATGGCAATGACTTGGGTGGGTGAAAGCAATAAACAATGGTTTTATTGAGAGAGAGAGAGAGAGAGAGAGAGGGAGGGAGAAAGATGAGGTAGTTGCACTCTCATCACACCCCTCTTTAAATCACTCATTTATTTACACTACAATAGCTCCAAACAAACATTCATTTCATGGGGAAAAACTATCTTCATGCCACAAAATTAGAGCCATCCATCATATTTGTTCTCTCACTCCAAGAATCTTTTGAACTATGCAAAATTTTTGGTTCAAGAAATAGATCCCTCTTCCCCAACCATTTATGGGTTCTTTTTAGTTTTTAGTGTGTTGGTTTAAAAAAAAATAAATAAATCAGCTCCATGCTCCCAACAAAGTTTATATTACTTCTTTCTAGATCTCACCTTGAGAACATGGACTTTTTGTCCAGCAGAAAAAGGTGGCATTGGTACAACCATTAGGGATATATAAATGTATAGAGAGGATGCTTCTTGCTACAAATGGCACTTTGCTCCCCCTCAAAGCTTAATAGTCTCGACGTGACACTAGACTATTAGAGATTTATCCCTTGTGAATATTCTAGTCTCGGCATGGATAGTCTGTTTTTGACCGAATTGGAGAGGAGATTAGTTGAAGTACGCGTAAACTAGCTCAGACATCTTTAACTGTTGAACTAAAAAAAAAAAATAGTCTCCCACTATAATTGGAAATTTTTTAAAATGGTAGTAATGTGCCATAATAACAACAAACAATTTGTTTTCTATGTGTGGCAGTGTTTAGTGAAGAGATGAACACACAAATGGGGTGTTGTTTTTGAGACAAATTGTTTCCATTTGCAGAAATTTCTGGTGCAATGTGAGATTTTTCAATTTTTGAGGGATAAGTTGAAAATTTTAAAACCGTTGAAACTTGGATTTTTTACCAAACGTTTTTCTTTCTTTAGGCAACATGCAAAAGTTACATAAACAAATGATTGAGGTGCTCATCATGAATTTCATAATTTGGGCACCACCCTCTAGAACAAGGACAGTGCATTACATGCCCATCAACCGTGACACTAATTCAAAGTAAAGGAATTTATGATAGGTGTAGCATCATCCTATGTACGCCTCAGTGGGTTGGAATTAGTCTTAGCGGATTTAAGTGTTAAGCAAGTGTACTCATTAAACCTGTCAAAAAGAAAAGAATCCACACAAACTAGGACAAACACGACATGAATCTCCTAATTAAACATGACTTATACATGAATTTAAATACGAAACTAACCCAACTCGAAACGACTCCTTAACAATCCTAAATTCTTATGCTGCAAGATGAGTGCCCAATGTATCGAAATACGGTATTGCCTAAACGACTGGCCTATATAATAATGAATATATTTATTTGTGCCATTAATATATGTTGGGTTGCAGTGTCCTAAACCTTGAAAATGCGTGTTGGCCCAGCCAGACAGGCATCCTCTTTGAGGAAAAATGGAAGCATTTAAGTCAAAAGAACAGATGGGAACTTCTAGGAATAATCAACCAGAGAGAGAGAGACAGAGAGAGACCACTACCCAACCAAGTCACAACCCTCTCAGGCTGAGCTATTACACCACCTGCCTGTTTTACCTCCTGGGTATAACACTGCGGTGGTGGCAATTGTTTTGTGTTGGTATATTTGGGTGTAGGGTACCTAACTACCAATCAAATGGTTAAAATTATAACACAGACATTTGGGCACTCTTGTTTTTAAAATTTCTCAATTTTGGATAAAATTGTAGTTATCTATCGTTAAATTTATTTATCGGATCGCACCGGGTATGAACGTCCGGTTGAACCGATAGAGAGCCACTAATAGGTTCTCTAATCTAATGACAGATAGTATAAAAGGGCCAAACATTTGGATACTTTGAAATGGGGATATATGGAGTAATTTAAGTTGTAATAGAGATAAACTGTAAATTTAGACGTCATAAATTTAAATATTGATAATTCATTAAAGTTAGGTCATAAGAGATTTATCTCTCATGTATGCTCTAGTCCTAACGTGGATGATCTATCTTTAATCGTACTGAAGAAGGGATTAATCGAAGTACACATAAACTGTTGAAAAATTTAAATGCAAATAAAGTGAATTGCAAGGTAAGGCGCAGATTAAATTGCTTTCTTAAGACAATTTGCACCCTTTTTCACAACGCAGAAGGCAGTAACGCGTCGTCCCTAGGATACAACAATCCAGCTTATTGACTGTTGCTTCACTCAGATCTGCACAATCGAATGAAACAAAAATTTCATACATACCTTTAAATATTACCCAAAAACTTATATAGTAAGAAGATAGTTGATATCAGATTGTGTATCTCTATATTGAAAATATGTGTATATATATATACAAATAATATATGTGTTTAATAGGCTCTAATTACTTCAATATTTAATTGGATAATAACTTAAAAAATTTGATTGTTGGAATACCAGTCGTTTGAGGTTTTTGGTATTCAACAACTAAAATTTTAATATAGAAGTAATGACAAAAAATAATTAAACAAAATATTAAAAAATGGGTGTAATCCTAGTTATTATTTTATATCATTTAGGCAAGCCAGGGGGGACCCACTATGTGGGTTGTGGACTAGGCCTAGCAGTAGATTTTTAATATATATATATATATATATATATATATATATATTCAAGTACTTTTGGATATTTAGNGACTATTAGAGATTTATCCCTTGTGAATATTCTAGTCTCGGCATGGATAGTCTGTTTTTGACCGAATTGGAGAGGAGATTAGTTGAAGTACGCGTAAACTAGCTCAGACATCTTTAACTGTTGAACTAAAAAAAAAAAATAGTCTCNTGTGGGTTGTGGACTAGGCCTAGCAGTAGATTTTTAATATATATATATATATATATATATATATATATATATAAGTACTTTTGGATATTTAGTTGATATGAAATTGAACTTTCGCACATAAAAAATACTTTTAGTTAAAATATTCTAACATAAACTAATCCGACCACCCCTTATCCTTAAAAAAAAATGGATATATGGCATGAATTACATTCTACATTATTGGAGCAAAGACCAAAAAGCAAAGTAAGAGCCCTAATGACCCTCTTCGTGGGGTTCCTAAAGTTTACCATATTTACTTTACATCTGTTTGCCTTNAGGATTTTTTACCAAACGTTTTTCTTTCTTTAGGCAACATGCAAAAGTTGCATAAACAAATGATTGAGGTGCTCATCATGAATTTCATAATTTGGGCACCACCCTCTAGAACAAGGACAGTGCATTACATGCCCATCAACCGTGACACTAANATGGGTGCTCATTAGTTTTGATAAGTAGTGCAAGTTAGTGAAAAAGCAAAATTGGTTTTTTTTTAACACGAGCATGATCCAGAGTGGTAACATTACTGTATGATACAACTCATTAATATAATATAATTTTGGCACAAGATTAGTTCTCAACAAGATCGAACTTGATACACAACTAATTGACACGGATAATAAACATACAGGATTAATGTTTAATTCAATTAAACTGATTTGGACATTATAAACCCACTTAACTGGCATTATATGAAGAAAATTTATGTTTTTTTTTTCATTTATTTCCATTTTTTGAAATGGTATTGTATTAATATTTGTAGAATTAGATATTTATACTCGATATTCAAGCACCTGAATTGAGTGGAATTTTAATTTATGGAAGACCAAAGGTGGCTGGTTTATTGGGAAATAAGAAAGTCTTAATTTTGGTTTTTACTTCACCGGTTTTGTGTATTGATCCGAACAAGCAAAGATTAATATACACAACTCGATTATCCCCCGTAACGTGCACTTACGTGATCTAGCAAGGATCATGGTGTGGAAACACTAGCAGGGAGTGCTCAAGCGGTGAATGTGGTGGGGGTGGCCGAGTTACTGGCAAAAGAGAAGCATCAAAAGTTGTAGAAGTAAATGAGTAACAGTAAATGCACCAATTAATACAATCACCCATAATTTTTAACAGAAGGTACAGGAAGAAAAAACACTGAAAAGGAAACAAGAGCATTAACACCAGCTACCCTCTGGTTGTCTTCCTTTTTTCTGAATCACCACTGCTACAGAGCCCATTACAGTCATTAAACAGTGACTGAAAAAAGCAAAAGCTTTGCTACTATTAATTCTAATTCAGAGAGAAAGAGAGAGAGAGAGAGAGAGAGAGGGGAGAGAAAGAACAAAGGCTGATAGCAGAAAGAACTTACACAGTCTTCTTACTAGAATTCTAACTAACCATTAGAATCAACAGTAGCAAAGCTCACATGCTGTGTTAACTGACTAGCTAGTTGTGAAGAGGATTGGGACCTGTATGAACTATCCTCTTGTCATCATCATATATGTCGTCGGAATCATCGTCGTCGGTGCCGGAAAGATGGGTTGGAGGAATGGAAGCTGCATGAACTGGAACTGTCCCGAAAACCCTGGTTTTTCTTGCCGGAGACTGACCGGACCCGCCAACTTTATCATTCTGAGCAAAAGATGAAAATAACTGAGAGAAAATTAAGACTATAAAGAAGAAGAAAAGGGCAATTCTAGCTGTAGCGTGTCGTCTTCTTCCTCCTCTTGTTCTTTCTTCTTCACTAGAGACTGTCATTGCACCAAGTATAGTAGTGGTTGTGCTGGCACTGCTTTTGAAATTAGAGTCTAGACCAACTTAGAGAAGACCATTGGAAGCTCAAGTGAGATTTTTGACTAACACTGAGGAGTTGTATAACTTAGGAACTTCAAAATCCTCTTTTGAGAGAGAGAGAGTAGACGATAGTAAAAGATGCCAAACGCCAATACCTCTATTTGTATCAATGTTTAGGTACAAGTAAAAGGTCCAAAGTTGGAAAGATTCAGAAGTGAACTAAGATATATATAAGAAGGTTCCAGGATTCAAGGGTCAAGATCATGTGACTGGACCCATAAGACAAGGAGCATAGAACTCTCTCTCTCTCTCTCTCTCTCTCTCTCTCTCTTTCACTCACTCCGTAACTCTGTTTTACATATCTTCTATATAAAAAAATACATAATAACTTGAGTTTTTATTTTTACATATTTTTTTTTAAAAAATATCACATCACTCATTTTTATCACTTATTTAATCATTTACATATTTCTCCTTAAAAATATCATATCACTCATTTTTATCATAAATTTAATTATTTAATATTTGATTATTTTGTAGTTAATATAATTTTTATTTAAAATATTATTTATATACGATAATATACACATGTTAAAAATATTTAATATAATGAGATCAATTTTTTGGATACTTGAATTTATCTAATTTAATATATATATATATATCTACTATTAGAGTTAAAATTTTGAATTCCCAATTTATAAAATATACATTAACAGTCATGATTGATCTAAATTTTATCTACTTTAATTTAATAAAATTCAGCTCAAATAATTGTATTACGCTAAAAAACATCATCTTCTGTTGTCAAATAACTCAATCAATATATTTCTCAATACCAAACAATCTCATTAACCTAGACATATCTCCTTCTCTCCTACCACCCCTACCTCTTACCTCTCTTTAATCCACAATGCTGCACGATTAATAGTCGATTTTTGGTATTGCTAAATGTCTTTAAATATGGGATTATTATTAGGAAAATGTTATTTGGGCCTTGACATAAATTATTGACCCAATGACGTGACTTCATTAGAACTATTAGATTAATATTAAGTTCTAATGTTTGATGGAGTCCACAATTAATTTAAAATTTATAATAAATTAAGTTAATAAATTAGACCACAATAGCATTGTTCTTATTAGTAATACACACACTGTCCTTGGAGAAGGGTGGAAGTGGGACAGTCCAGTATTAATAGCCGTTGTCTACGGAATATTTGAACTTTTTAAATCTGAAAAAGGAGGACAATGGTAAAACTTAGATGCTGTAGTGCCACTTTCTTTGGCTGGCCACAAGAAGTGGTTTACTTAATTGTAATATGTCTGGCTTCAGAGTCCCTCCCTCCCATTCTCTCCCCAGTTCTTTTTTCATCTTGTAGTTGCCCCTCCCGCTTCGCTTCAATTTCTGTGTCTCAGTCAGTCCGCAAAACTAGCTAGGGTTTGACTTGTTCATGGAGGACCCACCCACAACCCCTCTTTTTCTCTCTCTCTCTCTCTGTGTTTTGCCATAAAATTTTCAATAGATTTATACACTAAGGCCCATTTGGATAAAAAAAAAAGATGATAAAAAATGAAATAAATGAAAAGAACATTTTTTTCCTTTTTTTCTCTTTTCTTCTTTTTTCACCATTCTCTCGCTAATCAAACGAACTCTAAGTGATAGTGAAATGTGTTATTCATCAATAATAAAAAAATTATACATGTTCAGTGAATGATCGAGACCTATTATCTTGTCAAAGTTTTTTTTTGAAAACAATGGCTTGTATGTCCCACAAACTGTTTTTGTGACAGTCGTTTATTGTGTATGCATAGCACACAAGACACTGTCATATAATATTTATAACTCACTGAAAAATTTCTAGTGTTTTACATATATCGTATTTGACAACCAAACTAAGTTGGTCATTCTGTACATTTTATTAAGGCACCTGAATTGTTATTAAATGGGGGAAGCAAGAGTAGGGTAGGTAAAAAGAAAGAGTAGGGTTGGTAGTTTTTATGGGACACCTTAACATGGAACTATTCATTTGAAATTATTGGATTTGAAGCCATTAGTTCTCGATATGAATTTAAAAATGATATACCCGATTCAAGTTAATATCAACACAAATAATTCGATCTTGGTAAGGCAAACATGTATTATTGTTATAATACAAAAGAGTTTTTTTATTTTTATTTTTTAAAATTAATCTAGCATTATATATAAATCCTTATACAATTAGAGAATTTACCCTTGATTNATTTTTTTTTTTATTTTTTAAAATTAATCTAGCATTATATATAAGTCCTTATACAATTAGAGAATTTACCCTTGATTTTGTAATAAAAAGTGGGTGAGAATTGAGAGAGAAGGGAGTCTTAATTATGGATTTCCAATTTACGGGTTAAACATACCAACCAAACACAACTTGATTAACAAAAAATATATAGTTACTATCAAAGGTCGGATTAAGAGTAATGACTAATGATTAGAAATTAGGAATGACACGGTCGGACAACACAAATCGATTTTCGCGGGCAAGCAAGAGGTATCCAACACCACATGCAACGGATTTTAGGATGCAAACTAGTTTTCAAATTTTCCTTTCTGATAACTCTTTCAGATGTAACATGTGGGACTTTGAGATCTCCCTCAAACAAAGCCAAATTTGAGAATTTTTGGTCATAAGAATTGGCATATATAGGCCAAGACGTTGCAATTGGTAGTTGTTACGAGACTACGATATGACTGAAAATATTNTCATTATCAACTCTACACACAGATCCCTATTATTAATTTGCCTCTATTTCTGTTGCCTGAATTAATCATGGATACCCTTTCTAATTCTCCCTCTTAATTTCTACGTACTCTTCTCACATATCTCCCTTGGTTAATTTGCTTGCTTATGTTTTGGATTAATCACAAATTATACCCAAAAAGATCTCTCGAATTTTAATTTGCACATTCAAAGATAAAAAATTTCAATTTACACCGTTAAAGATATAAACCTTTATCAATATGCACGTGGAGCAAACAGTCTATCTAAAACAAAATAGATAAATTATGTCTAAACCCCCTCATATTTGTTACTTAATTATTTAGACTTCCTCATATTTAAAATATTACACCTACACACCTTGAGAATTCAAATAAAATTAAAAGTGTTCTCCCAATTAGGTATTCAAATAATTTTGTTCAAGTGATGTATTGCGTTTGATGTAAAGAACATTATAGAATACCTACATTACATTAGACATCCAAAGAGTAAATTTGATTTTGAATTTTAAAGCACAAGGCCCACAAAATACAGGATAGTAAAGATATTATAGTTGTTTATTAGGATGACATTACGTTTTTTAATGGTTACATTAATGGATATTGACAATAGGGAGTTATGTGTTACACGCGTATAAACATCATAGGGTGTAAGTATAATATTCTAAATGTGGGGGAATTCAGTGATTAAGTGATAAACCTGATGGAGTCTAAGTGTAATCTATTCATTTAGTTTTAGATGACAAATTGACGGCTATTAGTTTCAGGTGTACATTGATACAGATTTATATCTTTGACGGTACAAATCAAGATTTTTTATTTTTGAGGTATAAATTAATATTCAAGAGATCTTTTGGAGTGTTATTTATAATTAACTCAAAAAATTTACTAAAATATTAATCAAATCAATGTGCATGGTTGAATCAGTGGATCCTGTTGTCTTTCTCTAATAGAACCATTGATTTAACCATCCATGTTCATTTGAATTTTAATTTGTATGTGATTATTCAAATTGTTTGTTTTGCCTGATTGTTAAAAGTCGAATTCATCATGTAATATTTGACGGATAAGAATTTGTATATGTAAGTAGCCCGCTTGATTATCTTCCAATGTGGATCGTATATGAATATATAGTGAAATTGAGGGATTATTGAATGAAATTAAGTTAAAATTTAAATTTAATTTACATAGCGGGCCGCGTTTGGGTCAAGCTGACCATAACACAACTTACTAGCCCAAAACAATAGACTAATGTTTACCCAACCTTAACTACTATTATTGGTGCCAATTTTTCTTTTTCTTTTTTTTGCAATTTGTTTGGTAGGAAAATTAGAAGTCGAATTTCGATGGGTCAATCAATACAATTCAAGTTCCAACATTAAATATACAGTAATCAGATAAAGATTTATAATACTCCAATTAAACTTGGATAAAAAAAGTTTCAACTTGACTGCAAAAAAAATAATAGTAGAATGTGGATTGGAGTCTTTCATTTTTGGGGTCGACTCAAACTATATAATTTTAAGTGAAATTTGGGATTGAGTCCTTCTTAAGGGACTTATAATAAGTTTAGTCCGTCAAGAAAATTTATTTAAAGATAAGTCTATTTTTAATCTTACTAATAAATNTAGACTTAACATAGGCTTTGTAAATTATTAAATGTATCTGAGATATGCACCCGAGGGTAGTGGTACATGCCAACATCGAATTTTCATTAATTAAAACCTAGTTGATAATTCATGGGACTGGCAGTATTGCACAAGGAATGGTTTCTACAACATCTATCTGGGTTTGGCTCTTCAATGTCTTAATGCTCTGATACAAATCGATTAACATAATAAATGATGATATTGACTGAGGAAGATGTGCAGGAGGAGGTCATTATCAACTCTACACACAGATCCCTATTATTAATTTGCCTCTATTTCTGTTGCCTGAATTAATCACAAATTATACCCAGAAAGATTTCTCGAATTTTAATTTGCACATTCAAAAATAAAAAATTTCAATTTACACCGTTAAAGATATAAATCTTTATCAATATGCACGTGGAGCAAACAGTCTATCTAAAACAAAATAGATAAATTATGTTTAAACCTCCTCATATTTGTCACTTAATTATTTAGATCTCCTCATATTTAAAATATTACACCTACACACCTTGAGAATTCAAATAAAATTAAAAGTGTTCTCCCAATTAGGTATTCAAATAATTTTGTTCAAGTGATGTATTGCGTTTGATGTAAAGAACATTATAGAATACCTACATTACATTAGACATCCAAAGAATAAATTTGATTTTGAATTTTAAAGCACAAGGCCCACAAAATACAGGTTAGTAAAGAAATTATAGTTGTTTATTAGGATGACATTATGTTTTTTAATGGTTACATTAATGGATATTGACAATAGGGAGTTATGTGTTACACGCGTATAAACATCACAGGGTGTAAATATAATATTCTAAATGTGGGGGAATTCAGTGATTAAGTGATAAACCCGATGGAGTCTAAGTGTAATCTATTCATTTAGTTTTAGATGACAAATTGACGGCTATTAGTTTCAGGTGTACATTGATACAGATTTATATATTTGAAGGTACAAATCAAGATTTTTTATTTTTGAGGTATAAATTAATATTCAAGAGATCTTTTGGAGTGTTATTTATAATTAACTCAAAAAATTTACTAAAATATTAATCAAATCAATGTGCATGGTTGAATCAGTNTTTTTTTTCATTTTACACCTTGAATGTTATAAATTGATTATAATGTGATCTTCGAACTAATATTTGTTTCTGATTTTATTAAAAATTGGTGTATATGTCATACCGGCCACGTATGGTACTTTTGGACAAAAATATAAATTCACCGTTCATATCATTGGGTATTTTGGTGATATATGCATTAATTTTTAACGAAATTTGAAATTGATGTTAGTTCGACGATTACATTGAAACCAATTTATAACATTTAGAGTACAATGTGAAAAAAAATCTATTAGGGTATAAAGTGAGAATTAAAATATCTTTTAAGGTATAAAGTGCAAAAATCCCTTCTTCTAATCCCAAATTTGCGCACGGTCTCTTAGGTAGATTCGGGCTCCAATTTTCATCTCGGTTCCCATTTTGTCTCTGCTGAGTCGTAGCCTCGTTTGGACTCTTTGAGCGCAAACCACTTCCCTCATCCCAACATATTCATTCACCTTTCAACTCTCACGTTCTCTTTCCCCCCCGATCAGGTATCCCCACGTCACATCGGTTCCCCAGGTTCTCTCTCTCGCTCTCCGCGTGTGTGTATAACAAGATGCTTAAAACTTGATGTGATATTATTGAATCTGTTGTTTTTTGTTTATTGTTATAATGTTGCTGTTATATGATTGTATTAAGAAAACCCACTTGAATTTGTGTCTTAGTGTATGTGACGGAAATATGCAGAGAAAAAAAAGTTCAGAAAAACCAGAGAAGATGGGGTTTTGAGAAGTGGGTTGGTTCTGAAATAACTTAAGAAACCTAGAACGAGCCTGACTGGCCAACCCATTCTTGGAGATGACTGAAAATGAATTGGGTATTTGATGACAGAACCATTCATGCTTTTCTAATTTTGATCGCAAGTGTTTGAAATCGGATGGTGATTCGGGTTCAATTTTTTCACATAACTGTGTTACTCGGAGTTTGAGGTTGTGCTTTCATTGGTTTCCATGGGTTTTAACTTTGCTAGTGATGTTCAAATGTAAATTAGTGCTTGTATCTATCAATAACAACTAGACTCGTATGCATTTTCTATTTACCATAAAGAGCTAAAAGTATTTCCCATTTACCGGTTGTTAGAATTTAATTTAGAATGGCTCAAATTTATCTGAAGATATTGAACTGCCGGAAGAAATGCTTAATCATCCAGCACCATAGCTATTAGTATTGTACAATATACGATACGATACATGAATTTTTTTTTTTTTCTGTTTTTCTGTTTTTTTGGTTTTTTGGGACTGAAATAACATCATTTCACCTCATGACTTATTTTTAAATTACTAGCTAGTAAAATAACGCCATCTCAGTCGTTATGGTTTAAAAACAAATAAAGTATGTTGTTAATGTTGTTCAATTGAATTCAAAATTCTTGATTAATATTAAGGGTGTTCAAGGAGTTGATGTTAGAAGTTTGAATTAGAGGTATTTGCATATTGATATTATTAAGTTATGTTGGGAACTTGAATAATTGATGGAATATTGAGTGAAATGTTATGTTATTATGAGTTTATGACTTTTTTACAAATGTATATATATTTTATTAATAATTATTTAAAATTACGTGTATCTTACGATACACAATCTGATACGATACACTATTTTTGAAAAACGATACGTCCTCCGATACGCAATTTGACAACTATGTCTAGCACAATAAGACATTGTAATTCATCTTCCAAGTTCCAGCATCAGCAATATATAATCCATATAACTGTAATGATAATATTGACATGTACTGCTTGCCGAGATTGATACTGCTTATTCCCAGGCTCCACTGTTTTAAAAATCGAAATATATAGATGAATGTTTGTAATGAACTGATGATTACTTTCTGTTTCCATTTTTGGAAATTTATTGTCTTGCCCTTTGTTTATAGTCCATAATCCCTGTATAATGTTTAACATGGGGTTATCGATTTTCATTATCTTAATAAATCAATTCTATGTTTTTTTGTCAGGCGGGGTTGCTTGTTGGATAAAATTTCTGCAAGTCTTATTGGCAATCAGTCTCATTCGACTGATTGCCAAAACAGCGTATGAGTCCCCAGAGAGCGTTGAGCACGAGTAGAGCCTTAGAGGGAGTTCATGGAGTGCATCTGGTGCCTCATTCAACATTTGCGTTTGAAGAGATAAATCAACATGGTGTCTTGTACCAGTCAACCTGTGAAAGTAAGACTGTTGGAGCTAATCAGCGGTTTATGGTCCAGTGAGTGAGAAAATTTTTTTGTCAGTTGACATATAATACATCTCTTAAATAATTAACGATGATGATTGAATTGTCTGTTTTAATCTTTTGGCTAATATTTGTATCAATCAAATGCTATGCCACTCATTTACATTTTGTTTACCAGGAGAGTTTGGCAGCAAAGACCTGCATGTCTGAGGCCTATCCAATGTAGTCTAAATGGTACCATAAAGAGCAATTTTTTAGTTTGTTTAAATTGCTACTGTATGCCTGGTGCACTCTTTCTAATCTACCGTACGAAATGTTCAGATTTATGCTGACCTGATTTTTAAAATCCTTTCTGTTAGGTGATAATAGCCTTGCAGAAACAATTGCTAATGTTCTTACTTCGCTTCCATTTATTGCTCTTGGAATGCAGGCCACAAGGCAAGACATCCCCTCATATTTGTCTGAATATGTTACCAAAATTGTCTATATTTCCTGTTTAGCTAAGTCAGAGTTGTCTATATTTCATCATGTTTGGTTGCTTGCTTTTTTGATGACGCAGGAAGAATCTGAATTGTAAGCTGTATGCAAATTCATTAATCGGAGTGGGAGTTACGTCAAGTTTGTACCATGCATCAAGAGGAAACATGAGAAAATATATGAGGTGGGCTGACTATTCAATGATAGCCACAGCAACGGTGGTAAGTTTATTTAAATATTGAGAAAAAGGTGGGATGTATAAAAATGACATTTGTGGGTCGATACATAATATTCCTCATGATAGATTCAGTGGTGCTCAGTGAATGTAACAAAGCACCATTGGCATGGTAAATTCTTAAAATGTAGGGTATAGCAAACGTGCATGTGTATAGTCACATTGGTGGATGAATTCAAGGCTTACGTGTATGGGTCTACCGCACAAGTCTCCACAAGCGCATATTATGGGTTGTCATTCTCTCCTACCCCCCTCCTCAATAGAAACCCTGCTATACTCCTTTAATTCGGATTTCTAAAGTGATTATTTTTATGCGCAACAATTATTATATTTTCCTTTGTTTCTTAATTGCATTTTGTTTTTTCCTTTGCAATTATCTTCTTTCTTGTCCTTCAAAACCTTTGTCCTAACATGATCATTTGTAGAATGTCGGCCATATAACTGAAAAAACATACACATTTAAAACTGGTGAATTTGATTTTTAAGGTTATAAACTTGTTTATGGATTCTTATTGAAGCATCTATTCCAGTTTACCACTCAATGTAGTTCTGTTTGTTTCCTTTTTCCTTGGACGCGGTCTATAACCATTCCAGTGTTCAACTGTCTTACATACAACATGAGCACCTTCAAGTTGTTGGTAGATAATGATAAAATGTGATGACTAGATAATGTAATTATCTTCAAAATCTGGTAAGTGTTGCTGGAAGGATGCATTGCGAAAGAGTAGCTTGGGTATTTGAAATCCAATGTCGCTCGCTATTAGCTCTTGTCATTGCCCTTACTGACATTGATGAGGCTTCTTTAACTGGCCTTGTTAAGTTGTTATGGAAGGACACTTCTACATGATGATTGGTTGGGTTCAGCACAGAATCCCGAGTTCTCAGAGTCGGTGCTATTGTCACCCACTTCAGGTTTCTAAAATCTGTGACGTAAGCTACATACTTGCACGTGCAGCTTCATTTGAATTTTCAGTATCCCCTCTCAGGCAGCTGATTTATGCTATTAGCATGTGCCCTTACTTTAGAAGAGTTTAAAGGGGTTTTCTAGTTAACAGTAAGGACAGTCCTTTTTTATCTGTCAATGAATTGTGGCTTCGTACCCATACACAGAATTAGTAAGAAAGAAAAGTAGGTATCTGTTTTTTCATTGTTCCACTGTAGGTTTGATTATCCCACTGAGAAGTTGAACTTACAATCGAAATCTTTTTGCAGTGTCTGACCAGAGCACTCAGGAATGAGAATCCAAAGTTTCTGATGGCAGCATCTGCTTTGTTTCTACCAATTCAACCTCTGATGGTCTCAGCTGTTCACACAGGGATGATGGAGGTAGACATCTGTAAGATTTATTGAGTAACCTTGCATTCAAAACTACCTTATGTGTATGTGCTAAAAGTTTAGCTCTGGGTGTTAAGCAATGATAATCTCTTTCTGAAAAACTTATGGCTGCCGGTCCTTCAAATCTGTTATATGTGGGGGGAAACCCAATCTTTGTGCTATTTAAGACCATGACAACCACTTGTGCCAAGTTGGCAGATACAATCAAACATACAAATAATCTGGCTTTACATATCTTTTCAGTGTTCACAAAGCAACTCTTTTTGGAGTAAAATCAATTAGATTGCAAAAACATGGATGGTTATATATCTTAATTTGAAACTTATGTAATCATGATTTTAAGTATTGGTTGGTACCAATACAAATCAGCCGAGCCATGACTGATTCGATACCTCCAATCCTGAGACAGATACATGTTCCCTGTAAACCATGAAGTTCACTTTATTTGTGCTTGACTGGGGCTAGTCGTTTGAGTTATCGTTCCACTCTATTGCGATATCATCCCACGATGGAGTGATTGCAACACCGTTATTGATCTGTACTAGTGTCCTCTGAGTAGTTAGCTGATACCACGTTTAAGATGAACATATTTTCTTCTCTTTCGGAACCGAGTTCATAATGGTTGTTGTCTGCCTGTCCTTTCTGCCTGATCTTCCTTTAGTTCCAGAACCTTAAATAACTCAGAGTTGATCAACAAACTAACCTCAGTGCTTTTAGACCTTAGGTGGGGTGCTTTTCTGGATGGTAGAAACACCAGGAGGGTATTAAAGGCAGCATTATTTCCCTGATCATTTGTCCATTAGATCTATTGTTGTATTGCTGATTTCTGTCATGCATTTGTATTATACTGGCCGCCCTTGTAGTTTTTGTTGTACTTCTTATTCTTGCAACCTACGTTGGCTAATAGGCAATGCTACTTGGGTTACGCCATATGCCTGTAACTCTCGTCAACCTTGTCGCTTAAAGTAACTACCTTAGCCCATAAATATCCCCAATCTTCCTGGTTCCCTTTTCACATTGCTTTTGCGTGGGTATTTGATTGTGTACGGATTTGTTGGAATATATGGAGCAAACAAAATGTGTGTAATGTGCTTGAAAAAGGGGAAGGAAAAAGGGCAGCCACTCAGTTGACCCCGTCTTGCCTTCATCACATCAATGAAAGCATGACAACTACCCACAAATAGTTTGGATGGACATGCTCCCTCATTTTACAAGATGCAGCGGATCATCTAGCATGTCAGTTGTAGTTTCTGTGTCTTAGTCTTTTAGTTAATTTATTGCAATAGATTTCTTCTTGATGTGTTGGGCTCATTCTGATCTTTAATCGGAATAAGTTTTGACTTTCCTTCCAGGTCGCATTTGCGAAAAGAGCAATCCAAGATCCAGACTTGAGGATGGCGCACAACGTGCATAAGATGTCATCAGTCTTAGGCGGTGCACTTTTCATAGCTGATGATGTCTTCCCCGGAACTCCATTCCTTCATGCTGGCTGGCATGTTGCTGCTGCTGTTGGAGTTGGCACGTGTAACAAGCTTCTAGAGTAGTGTAAAAATTCTAAATCTATTCACCACATCCAATTTGTCGAAAATGTGTGCGTCGAGCTTCAGCCTGAAGACCATACAAGTGAAAAAGAAAAAGAGGGATATGTAATTTTATGTCAACTTGTCGAAATTCCATTGTTGACCATGTTGTGTTTCCCCGAAACTTCATTGAAGTATGTCTTCAGTTATGTTGTCCAATGCATAAGTTGGTGAAATTTTATCTGGGACAGTTTTGTATGCTATAAACCTGTGGCAATGCCTGTTGCTTTGTGAAGTTGCTCTCTATCTTATCTGATGGACAGAAATTCTTCACCCAGGCGAATACTTTTCATAGAGCCACCTTATGTAGTTACCTATTTGTACTTTTCAAAACACCTTAAAGCTTAGGGAATTCTACGCTACCCAAAAAAAAAAAAAATTGATATTGTACCACCAGTTACAAATTTTTTTCAGGAAGATTATAACTTTAAAATGAAAAATATATTATGATTGATCACAGACATTGATAATCAATTATGATCATAGATACTCATGATCAATCATTAAAAACATATTATCGATCTCAATATTTTATAATTGATCAAATTCTTTGAAATTGTGATTTATACATCAAAAAAATTTTATTACCTTAAAAAGTCGTAATTTTCGGTTTTAGTATTATGGTATTGTGGAGCTTCCCTTAAGTTTAAAGCAAATTACGAAGTAAAAGTGCTTGATTGTAGATGTACTTTCTCTCTCTAAACAGTCACGCGAGAGGTAGGATATTAGTACTTATGCAATAGTACTTTATAACAACCAAACTTTGTCTTTTAATGAAAATGCACGTAATCTCCCATTCGTACTTTTAATCATTTCTTTATTTTTTTCTCTTGTAATTGTTCAAATGTTTTCATTGATCAAAAAATTTGAATACATAAGATAATTCAAGACATGTCTGATAAACCTTTCTTTCTGCAACAATGGGTTCATTAACTCAAATTATTGTATTGTCGAATGTGTTTGACAAAGAGCTAGTAGGTGTAAGCCCAACTCGAGTGAGGCAGGTGGTAAACCAATCAATTCGATAAATTCATTAAATAAATAGATCAATTCAAATTTAAATATGGCAGAGAGAGTGAGAGGATTAGAAAAAAAAAAAATTAAAACCATAGATAAAATTCCATTCATCGCATGGGTAAGGCTGCTTGTGCGGAAAACATATGACACAATCACTTAAAGTATTCAAAGTTTGATTTACTAGTAATTACTACCCTCACTTAAGAAGTCACTGGCTAGCGTAACACTCGCAGCCGGTAAAAAAAGAAGGCACAAATAATATTATGGATGGTGTGTATAATGACCTTTAAAATCAATGCAGTTGCAGGTTCAAGCTTGTTTGGCCTATGGCGATTGTCAAGGTAGCTGATAATACTACCCCCCAACCCCCAAGCACAGACGATACCTGTAAGGTAACAAAGACCCGCAGAGAATATCAAATCTTCCCTGGAGTTGTCAAGAGTCAAATAGAATAGCATCACAAAAGCGCAAATCGAAAACAAATAGGAAAAGAATTGATAACAATTGATCCCATAGACGTAGTCGTTGTCCACCTCCTTCTCTTCTTTGATGATTTCTGTCTGCTGATCAGTCTTCTCTTCGTTGATGATTTCTGTCTTATGATCAGTTGCCTTGATTATTACTATTACATGTGGCTGATTTTTATATAACTCCTTCTCAGACTCTTTTTCTTGCTTCTGTATCTTGCTCGGATCCATAGATGACATGTTCCTACTGAAACTCTGAGATTTCGTAGGCCGAAGATCTGTGAAAGAAAGTTGTGTCCGTGAGAGATCAGAGATTGAAAATTGAGAAAGATAGAACCGTAGTTTGTATACGGGAGAGAGGTTGAGCTAGATCAACCCTCCCAATATAAATATATATAAACTAGTTATAACTCGTGCTTGAAGGTACGATAAAATAAAAGATTTGATTGTTTAAAAAATTGATCATTTGGTAATTTTTTTTTCTTTGTTTATTTAATTATATCATTTAAAATTAATTTCTATCCATTATTTTTTTAAAAATAGCATCAAAATTTTCTCAAAAATACATAACTAGACAAAAAAAATTTCAACAAGTGTACACTGTCGTGTATGTACAATGTATGACACAACAATTGTGTTAAACCATTCAAACTTTTAGGTGTTTTATTATATAGATATGAAAAGTGAGAGAGAGAGCTAGGGAAGGCAAGGGGAGAAGAAGTATGAATGGCGTGACTAACGCAAATTCCAAACCCTTAAAAAAGGAGGATTTGTGAGACTCGAATTATCCAGAGAGATGGAATGAGCGGAGAGAGAGTATTGTATTTCCTAGTTTCGGTACACAAAAGATAAAAAAATTAAGTGGATTTTTTTTTTTGGGGGGATACTTGTGTATCATTGAATTAAAGTATATAAAACTTATATGAATCTTGACCATTGACATGTTTTGATTAATCAAGAATTCAATCTCCAACTCCCCACCTTTTCCCTAATTTTTCGAGTCCTTGATATAATTTCAGACTTCTCATCTTTTACAGTTTTATCCCACATTTATCCTTTCTTTTTAGTGATAAAGATAATAAATTTATAGATAACATGATAGAAAAAATAATCTTTCTCCACACTTTAATTTTCTGCAACTAAATAACTTTTTTGTTTAGAAAACACAAGCAAAAATAAGAAACCGTAATTTCACTATTTTGTACTTTTGCACAATAATAAGTCTACATATGTATTTAATGCCCGTGGACTTACTTTTTTTAAAGTATGTATTTAATGTCTATTTGATCTCAAATTTTTTTAATTGTGTCTATTTGGTCCCTAAAATTTTTAATTTCTATCTAAATGGTTCGGTCCTAAACATCTGTCAAAAAAATCATTGAAGGTTCTGATTATATGTCATTCAGTGATTTCTAATTTTGTGTATATTTGGTCCTTCAAATTTTTAATTTGCATCTATTTAGTCCCTAAAGTGTTTAATTTGTGTTTATTTGGTCCCACGTGATTGGTCCGAGACCAGAATCGTTAACAATTTTTTGATGGATATTTGGGATTGGACTATATAAATAGAGATTAAAAACCTTAGAGATCAAATAAACACAATTAAAAGATTGGAAATCAAATACACACTATTGGTATATATATATATATATGCCCAAACTGTCTTGGCCATGTTTTTCTCCATATACGAAAATTCAACTAAACTATAATTGTATTGTAATGAAGCAATACTGATAAAAATATTCTTACTTCAAACTAAAAATAAGTACATTGTTTGTTTCATTAAATGTTTAGAACAACTGAATAGAAGCTATATGGGCATGGAAACATTATTATGAGTAAAACAACAGATGGACTAACGCCACAACAGAAAAGTAATACATCAGTTTGGAAAGTTCTCTAATGAGCCTCATCAACAATAACAACTAAANTTTCGGCTTCTAAATTCAAGGATGAACCTTAGTTGGCAAAGTTAATTAGTGTTTCAATACTCAATTTGGACTAAAATAGAAGAATATTGAGTTATTTAACTGAGGATCTGTTTGTATTTGCAGGAGAAATGATGCATGGCTTTATTGCATTGATTTGGGGGTGAGTTGGGTTTGAGTTTCAATCAATAAGTCTTTAGTGCCGGATGTGGTTTTCTTTCTGAAAATAGAGTTTGACTAGGGTATGGGGAAAAAAAAACATTGATTCCNTAATATACAAAAATAATATAACTGATTCATGAGAAGATTTCAAAATATATATAGGGAGATAACTCATTCACGATAAACAAACAACTCCATCTATGATTGACACAAAAAACCCGTCAATATGATAATAAGCAGGCAAATAACTCCACGTCGGTAAAACTAACCTCATCTATAATTAAAACCAAAAATCCATCTCTATTATAGTAGCACCCATATTTTCATAAGATTGAGACTGCTAGACTTTACCTCCAATAGGGAAAGAGAATATTTATATGAGACTCAGTTTGTGGTCTTTATTAGTCCTCTTATCCTATTTTATATAACTAGCTGGACATCCTCCTTTTGAACACCTTTCATTTCTTGGCAAACCCCTTATGTGCAAGGCATGCACATCAACACTACTACCCCCGATATCTCCGATGGAATTCTCTCGAATTTGAATGTCTGATTTTTTTGACAATATAGCAACTACTTTTTTTCACACTCAAATACTTCAAAGTACAAATAATAGGAACTGCAGAAAAATCAAACAAACGATTTAAAAGTACTATGACTACTATTTTCATAATCCTAGAACAAAACTGCATGACGACCAAAACACTAGTAATATAGTCTTTACCACTCAGAATATCCCTCGCTTAATTTGTTTTTCCACTTATACCCGGTTATCACGATCACCACAAAAGCAAACAATGCAGTAACAATTGTCAGCCCAATCTTGAGATTAGCTAATATAGATAGATATTAAAAACTTTAGAGATCAAATAGACACAATTAAAAGATTGGGAATCAAATACACACTATTTGTATTCATTGTTGTTAGAGCATTGAAAAAAAAATAGTTAGTCCACAGATGAATGTGCTTGGACTTTTGCAAGCTGCAACTGCCTTAATAATGTTGCAATGAAACATACTTTATATTGCTTCATTTCAAGGATATCAAATATGTTTCATTTCAACATTATTAAAGCAATTGCAGCTTGCAAAAGTCCAAGCAGAAACTGTAATTTCACTTTTGCAAGAGAAATGATGCATGGCTTTATTGTATTGATTAGGGGGTGAGTTGGGTTTGAGTTTCAATTGGTAAGTCAAGGAAGAAGATCGAGAAAAAAATTACAAAAAGAAAAGGAATGTTGATGGGACAAGAGAGAGAAAGACAAACTTCTGGTAGAGAGTAACTTAAATTATAGATCTTAAGTGCCAAAAATTGTCTACTGCTCGTGATGGGTTATAGTTGTGGTTGACAAGAATGATATTCTCTCTCTCAAAATATGAAAAAACGCATTTTTTGATGTCCAACTCACACACACCCTCGTTGACACATCCAACTCCAACAAACTCTTTGTAATGTTTTATACTTCATAAGAGTGTCATGTAAACTTTCTAGCACAATGTACTTCTATATTATCCCTTCTTGTCCAATCTGTCTTGGCCATGTTTTTCTCTGTGTACAAAAATTCAAGTAAACTATGATGTATTGTAATGGAGCAACACTGATATACATAATCTTACTTCAAGCTAAAAATAAGTACATTGTTTGTTTCATTAAATGTTTAGAACAACTGAAT